ACCTTTGAATTTCAAAATTGTGATTTTTTTAAACTCAAATTGTGAATATTTGAGTTTCAACTTGTATTGTAAATTTTTTATTATTAAATTTTTTAATCCTTCAAATCGTGAATCTTTAAAGTTTTGAACTTTTTTAATTGTTGTGAAATCAGACTCAAACATTTTGGTTGTCTACATCTTTGCGTAATTCTTGTTTCATAAAAACTATGCAAAGAGGAGCAACTGTAGACACCCTATTTTGTCTTGTGTTATCCTCGAATCTCGAGTTGATTTGACTTGAGCTTTGGACCTAACCTATTTGGATTTGGATTTAGTATTTAAGTTTTAAGGCTATATTATATTTTGGATCAGACCAAGCCATTTGTAATTGTTTTACTTCAATTAGAATTTTATAGGAAAATAAATAAAAAGAATGAAAAAAGTATAAATCAGGTGATAAGGGTCTATGTTTGAAATTTGCAGTATAGGATTAAATGTTTAAAACTTCAATGTTTTTTTTTTTAAACTCAAAATTTCGATTATAGAGGATAGGATGCTAAATTTTTTTTTTTTGAATTAAAATCCTATCTTCATCATGTTATTTAAACTTTAGTTTAAAAGTGAAAAAAGATAGAGTGAAAAATATAGAGCAAAACCCAACAACTACTAGCAGCTCCACCTCATTTTTATTCTTTTTTCCACCAAACGACCTAATCCTACCATCACTGAAATTGGCGTGACCAATAGCCCAAACACTCACTATCAAAAATCAATCACCCACGAAATACCCAAAACCCGGAATACCCAAAACTCAATAGACAACCCACCATAAACCTAAAATCAATCATAATAAGCAGCAAAAAAGGCAATGGTGGTTATGAGTTATGTTGACAGAGCGATGGTAATCAAACAATAGGGTTTCAAGGTTTCATGTGTAGTATTCTGTTGTGACTTACGTCCATAGAATGGTGGTAATCAAAGAGTAAGGTTTTAGGTACAAGATTCTGTTATGACTCACATTGGCAGAACGACGACGATCAAATAATAAAGTTTTAAGTGCAGTACTTTTGACTATAATTTTGAGGATGAAGAAAAGGAAAAAGCATAAAACAAAAAAAGGGGTGGTGGCGACAACTTATGGCATCAACAGTGTCAATGATGCATCAAAATCTAAAAAAAATGCATCAGTCTTTTTAAGCATTTTGGATTACCAGAGAAAGAGCCATTGAGCCTAATTCACTCTTGTAGCCAAGCCTGTTTTAGCCAAGCCGAGCTAGGACTTGTTTGGTATTTTCTTATGTTATTTTGTTTATTTACTTAATTATTTTTTTAGTAAATATTTGTTCTAAAAAATAATAATAAAAATAAAAATAATTTCAAATTTTCAAAAAAAGTTAAAGAATCAATTTTTATTAAAAATAAAAATTTAAAAAAAAATTTGAGAAAAAGCTGAAGTATCAATTTTCCTTAAAAAAACTTCAATAGTAAAAAAGAGGTTTTAAGGAAAAGTTGAAATAATCAATTTTTCTTAGAAAATAAATTTTTTTTAAAATATATTTCACAAAAAACGTTTTTAAGGAAAAATTAAAAGTATTAATTTTTCTTGAAAATAAAAATTTCAAAAAAATATTTTTTTGGAAAAAATTGAAAATATCAATTTTCTTTGAGGAAAAGTTGAAAGTATCAATTTTTTTTTTAAATAAAAATTTCAAAAAATGTTTTTAAGGAAAAATTAAAAGTATCAATTTTCATTAAATAAAGGCATTAATCATTTTTTTAATAAAGAAAATAAGAAAAAAATATCAAGAAAAAGTTGAGGTATTAATTTTTTTTTGTTTTTTCTTGGAATTTTTTTTAATGTTAAATAATCTGATTAACGAAGCGCCTACAAGATAAAAGTAGTTTTCTTATATACTCTTGGGGTGAAAAAATTTTCTTAATTTTTTGCCAAAAGTATTGAAGTCAATTTAGAATAATTTTCAATAATTAATTACTTGATAAGATTTTTAAGGCTTAATGGATAACACGAAATCAAGCTAGTACCATCTTTTAATGGGCGTTGTGAGCGTGCTATAATCTTCCTCATACGTAATCATACTCCTTGACCTAGTTCTGGTTTCATAGACATTGAATCTACCTTTTAAAAGTACTTGAGTCGAACTTAGGATTTTTCTTTAAAACAGATGGATTCAGTTAGGTGGTCAATCGCACATAAACAAAAAAGATTGGTGGTGACTACCTAAATCAATGTCTAGTGATATGTCCATGGATTTAGACATTATGACATTGATTTAGATAGTATATAATTTTGGTCAAAATGTGCCATAGGTTCTTGTATTCTTCAATTTTTAAAAATTTAGTCCCTCTAATATTATTTAAAAGAATTTAGTCCTTATAGTATTATTTTTGAAAGATTTCAGTTCAATCGTTAATAATGCATAGGCACTAAACTCCTTAAAAGAATAACATTATAGGGACTAAATTTCTTAAAAATAATGTTATAAGGATTAAATCCCCTTAAATAATACTATAGAGACTAAATTACTAAAAATCGAAAAGTACATGGACCTATGATACATTTTAACCTATAATTTTTTATGATTCCTTATATTTAGGGATTTAATTTTTAAAAATTATTTGAATTTTGTATTTCATATTCATGGATAAAGTGAGGTATAAGATATGTTTTTCATATTTAAATTAGGATAAAACTTATATGTCTTTCAGATAAATGTAAATTTTGAAATGTTAAAATTTTAAAATTTTGAATAGTTAATTGAATAAAGTTATTTAGAACTATCCTATGTATCAATAATATATGTTATCCACCTAAGCATCTACGTAAGCAAATTTTATCATATTTTTATGTATATTGTAATATAATATTATATATGATTAATTAATTAAACTGCTACTAAATAATATTTTAGCCAATCCATGGAATTATACTTTATATTTTAAAAATACTCATAATAAAGTGCCGTTGCTTGGCATTGGCAGATATCTTTTTTTCTCTTTAAATCATACTACAGTTATTTGCGCAACTTTATATTTGCCATACCCATGTTTCAAATCATATCCATTGCTTTAGGTCTAAAGGCAGAAGAAATCCCTTATTGAAGTACGTAGCAAGTGTTGAGATGAGGTTAAGATTAAGAAAAAAATCAAAAAATTAAAAATTAATTTAAAATTGTAATATTTTATTCATATTGATTTTTTTTATTTAATTCAAATTGAATTTGAATATTCAATATATATATTAAATTTAAATCAAATTTCAAATTGAGAAGTACAAATATAAAAAAATTCGAACAAAATCAAATTGTATATTTTTATTAACTTTTATATATATTTTAAATTTTTATAAAATAAAAATAATCATTTTATACCTAAATCTACTTAAATATATTAAAAATTATATAAAAATAATATATATATAAAAAAATTAAATTTAAAAAATTGTTAAACCAAATTAACGAAATTCAATTTGATTCGGTTTAGATCATATGAAAGTTTGGTTCGAATTATAATCGAATTTTAAAAATTTATAATTTTATATAAGATAAATTACATAAATAGTCACTTAACTATATGAGTCTTTTTAAAATGATCACTAAACTATTAAAATTTTCAATATAGCTACTAACGTTTGAATAAGTGTTTTTTTTGTCACTCAATCATTAATTTTTAACAGAATGCTAACTCGACATGTTACATCAGCTATTAAATACTACATTAGCTGATTGTGTATAAAAGTCATTTTTTAAAATTTTTTTGCACTTTTTGCTTTTTCTCTTCTTTTTTCCCCATTTTTCTTCCTTTTCTTTATTTTCTCTCTAAAATACAGCCATAATTTGAGAAAAATTTAAGAAACCCAGTTTTTGATCTACATTCATTTTGTCGACCATCGTTTGTCAACACTAGAAATGCTCCAAAAGACCTTTTTTGATTATTTTTTTCTTTCTTTTTTCACTCCTTTAATTAGTTTTTTTTTTTAATTCCTTGAAAAGCCTTAATTTAGGATTTAGTCTTGCGATTTCAAGCCCAAAATGTACACCTTCGTCACTCTAAACTAAACAACCTCTTAATTTGTTTCACTTTTACCTTTGACCTTCTTTTCTCCTAATTTTCAAATCCTAAAATTCTCTAAAACAAGCCAAATCTAAAACCCTCTCTTTCTCTTTTGGTTTTTTTGTACTTTGATTTGCTTCCTCTTTTGGAGTATGAAGCTGATTTTTTTTTACTTTTTTTTGTTCTAATTATGGTTTTTTAAGGTAAAATATAAATTTTTTTTTATGATGATAAAAGGTGGTTTGGGTGGGGATAACGGTGGTTGTTTTAAGGTTTTTATTACCTGGGTTTTTATAAGGTTTTGGTTATTTAGGTTTGGTTTTAAGATTTTAAAAACAATGGATAAAACTTGGAAAGATTGAAATTTTTTACTACATGGCTATCTAGGTTTTTGCTTTGTTTTCCTATGGATTGTTTTAATTATTTATTTTATCAATGATGAAGAATAAGAGAATGGATAGTTCCAATGGTGAAGATAGTGACCGATCGATTTTCAATTGGTATGCGAATTTTAGCTATTGATGATACCTTTATTTGCCTAAATCTTTAGTTTACCTATTAAAAGTAAAAGGAAATAGATGATTAAAAAAGTAAGGACAATGAATGAAAAAAAAAGGAAATAAAAATTTTATTATGGGAAGAATAAAAATAAAAATAATTTATTTTATATTTTGTTTTAATTTTTATTGTTAATGACATGTCAACTTTAATCATGTTGTATTTTTAATAACATGGACATATCATGTGATAATCAACATCATATGTGACGTGTGTAGTTAAAATTCTACTAAAGATTAACATCTTACTGACAAAATAAAATATTTTTTCAACCGTTAGTGATTAAAATAAAACATTAAATATTTTGATGATCATTTTAAAACGATCATTATAGTTAAGTGATTATTTGTGTAATATAGAAAAATCAAACTGAATCTGACCAGTTAAGCAAAGGGAGTCCATGAAATAATCAGAAAATACATATATTTAAAATTGTTAAATAGCAGCACATTCATTTTCTACTCTTATCCATCAACATGAAAACTCTATCCTCATCACCACCAACCCCTGAGATGTTCAGAATAATTCTTCCCCCTAAAAACAAACAAATTGCATATCGTAATTAATAGCAACCATTGCTAAAAGAAATCAAACTCCAGATAATTGACTGAACCTTTCTGATCATTAGCACTTCCATTGGCAGCAGCCTTTTCACTTGTTGATGCCGGTGGAACTGGTATTCGTTCAAGCTCAACCGGCTTTGGAATCTCAGGAGGGGTAGCACAACGAATCAATGCCCAATTCACACCTTCAAAGAATGGATGTTGCTTAATCTCAGTCGCTCCTCGTTTATAAGCCAATCTATGTTGTGGTTCCTTTACAAGCAGGCCCCTTATGAGATCCCTTGCTGCAAAACTTACAACAGGTGATTCTGGAAATCGAAGAGGCTGTCCTACAACATTGAACAACGTTGCCCGGTTCCCAGATCCCTTAAAAGGAGTTTTACCAAACAAGAGTTCATAAAGGAAGATTCCAAAAGTCCACCAATCGACAGCACTTCCATGACCCTCACCCTTAATGATCTCCGGTGCCAAGTACTCATGGGTCCCAACAAATGACATTGATCGGGCATCAGTTGGCTCTGCTATTAGCTCAGGTAATGGGCTAACTTGGTTTCCAATTTCATTTTTTTGCTTGTGGTCTTTTTTGGACTTGCTAGAAAAGAGACGGGGAGAAAAGCAAGTTGTTGGACCAATGCAAGATGGTTGAATGAAGGAAGGTTCAATACAAGCAGGCTGGACACAGAAAACAGTCTTCCTTAATGGCTCTGATTCAAGAGAGATAGTCTTCACAAGAGTTGGGCTGACAGCACAACGAAGGGAAAGATCAAAGTCAGAGAGCATTATATGACCATCTTCCCTAACAAGAACATTTTCTGGCTTAAGGTCACGATAGATGACCCCAAGCATGTGAAGATACTCCAATGCTAGCAAGACCTCTGCTACATAAAATCTGCAAATTAGAATAAAAATTAGAATAAAAATCATAATTGCTAGAGAGGTCATAGAAATATGCACAATCATAATTACTATAGATGTCATAAAATGGTTACTTAATTGGAGTTAGATAAAACCATAGTAGAAGTTAAGGACTTCCTTAACTACCCAACTGTTTCAGAGATGAATAGTAAATCAAAGTGACTTGCCACGCCATATGGCATTAAGATGATGCTTTGACTTCTATCATGTTGTGAAGCCTAGACATAGGCAGGTTGGTCATGTTGTCCATTATCGTAACTTAAGGCAGAGGATCGAATAAAAAGAAAATGCTCCGGTAAGTGTATAAGACAAGGGCCACAGCATGCAAGAGCCCTGTCTTAAGTAAACATGATTCAATGTTCTCATATGATTAATTTACACTAATCTATGTTAAAAGAAATAGAATTCAGGCACTTAAAGGTATGGGTTTTATCTTTATTTTAAAGCATCAAGAATATCACTTCAAGAAGATGTCAACTTAACATATTGCAATTATTTCATACATACAAACCTTACCCCTCTCGTTCACATTAAGTCTGCAATTTCCCATTTCTGGAACTCAGTCTTGCATGGCCCAAAACTTTCAAACAAATTATTGTGCCATAATACCTTTCAAACAATTAGCTCCCTTTTGCACCATAGTAGATGGTAATACCCCATAACAAAAAGAAAGGTCTTGAATATGCAGAAAGAAACCTGGACGAAGATAGGCATATGTCTCCAAAACATCACATTCCACAGCATTTTCTCAATTTTATCTAGGTAGACTCTAAGGTAGCGTTTTGTATGGGGTGATCACTCCAAAAACCATAGTGATTTACACATGGTGATTAGATTGCCGTGTTTAATAAACACCTGGTGATCGTACGTGATAGTGATCTTGAATCACCGAAAGTGATCAGATCACTATCTTGAAAGGTGATTTAATTACCATCCAAAAGAATGGGAAACTTCTATCACTAAGATGAAGTGATACATAAAAATAGTAATAGTCAATATTACACATTTAATAAATCAATTAAAAATTTGATTCCTCTTAAAATTGTAATTATTTTATATTATAAGTTTTTATATTTTCAAACTAATATTCATTATAACAAGTTCAAAAATAATTTGTATTTTTTTTTACTTTTTCTAATATTTTGTATATAATATAATGTCTTTGTTTTTTTATTATGATTTTAATAGATTAATTTTATTTTCTAATTCAAAATTTTTTTTACATAATTTATATTTAATAAATAAATATTCTTAATAATTTAATTATATTGATTATTAAAAAAATATACTATGTTTTATGAATTATTATCTTTAAATAACATTTAAATCATTAACTTGTGTAATTATTATAATAAGGATGGTTATTTTTGTACTTTTAAATAAAATAATATTTGATTTTTAGCAATATCAAACACAATGATCTTTTATTTGTATTGTAAGAAAACACTTATTTACAGCTGATTGTAATATTGTAATCTGTATATTTATATTTATATCTTTAGAATTAAGTATTTGTATCTTTAGAATTAAGGACAAAAAATTAAAATAGACAATCTCTCGATTATAGGATTAGGTTTTTAGGAAGATTTAGTTTCCTAGTTTAACCCCTAATTAGTTGTATATAAACCTAAAGTTCTTGTATAATTCTTAATAAGCAGTTTTTCAATATACATTCAGTTTTCACATTGATTTATTTCTTAGTTTTTTCACATGGTATCAGAGCTTTAGGCTTTTCTTGGAAAGCAAAATTTTTTAGCCTTCATTGCTGACTTCTATTTTAGGCCTTCATTGCCGAATGCTTTATTGCCAAACCCTTTCAAAGAAAGATATCACTACCACCCAATTTGAGGAAATGTCAACTGAAAAAATCACTGGAATACTACAGATATCACGGAAACAATGAGAGTTCAACAAGGAAGAGATTGAAAAGCTAAGAAACTTATTGAAAATCCTTGAAAAGCCTATTGTGGTATGTTCTTTGGATAAGGTCTCTAGTTAGGTAAAGCTTTTGGTTCTCATTGATTAAATATCTCGGTTAAACCTATTACGAGTTCTTGGGTCATTAACTCAAGAGCCACAGATCATATGACACATTCCTTGCAGAAATTTAGTACATATACCCTGTGTCCTAGTAATAAAAAAATTATTGTTGCAGATGGTTCACTTACTATAGTGACAAGATTAGGAGATGTTCAAGTTAATCCTTCGTTTGTTCTCAAAAATATTCTTCATGTTCCTAGATTGTCTACTAATCTGATATCTATACAAAAACTTACTAGAGATATGAATTGCAAAGTGACTTTTTATCCCTCTTATTGTGAATTTCAGGACCAGAGTTCGAGGAAGATGATTGGACTTGCCAAGGAGAAGGATGGACTATACTATCTTGAGACATCAAATAACACAAGTAATATCAAGAATAGTTTACCTTTGTCATTTCTTTCTGAAAAATCTTTCAATAAAGACAAAATCTGACTTTATCATTTTCGTCTTAGACATCCTTCTTTTGAAACTTTGAGAAACATATTTTCTTCTTTGTTCAAAGGATTAAATGTCGAAGATTTTCATTGTGATGTTTGCGAACTTGCAAAGCATAGACGTGTGTCTTTTCCAATTAGTAACAAAAGAAGTTCTACTCCATTTTACTTGATTCATAGTGACATTTGGGATCCCTCTACAATTTTTAATATTTCTAGTGCAAGATGATTTTTTTCATTCCAAGATTTTTCATTCATAGATGATTATACCAGGGTCTCTTGGGTTTTTTTATTTAAATCCAAATCAGATGTGAATAGTATATTTTTAAGCTTTCAAAACATGATCCAAAATCAATTTGGAGTGAGAATCAAGAGATTTAGGTATGATAATGCAAGAGACTACTTCAACCAGAGTCTATCCACCTATTTTCAAAAAGAGAGGATTATCCATGAGTTATCTTGTGTTAATACTCCATAGCAGAATGGAGTGACAGAGAGAAAAAACAGCCATTTACTAGACACAACCCGAGCCTTTCTTTTTCAAGCAAATGTACCTAAATCTTACTGGGGGAAAGTTGTTCTCATTGCCACGCACATTATAAATAGGTTACCTTCAAAGGTTTTGGGATTTAAAACTCCTATGAAACTACTCTCATAATTTTATCCCAACCTCAATACCACAAACAATCTCACACCTAGAATATTTAGTTGTACATCATTTGTTCATGTTCACAGTCATAACAGGAAAAAGTTGGATCCAAGAGCGATTAAGTGTATTTTTGTGGGGTATTCCTCAACTCAAAAAGGATATAATTGCTATCATCCTCCTATCAAAAAATTCTATGTGTCTGCAGATGTCACTTTTAAAGAAAGTAAACCATTTTTTATTCAACCTTATCTTCAGAAGGAGACTTTATTCGTGGAAGATAAGGATAAAGACTTCTTTTTGCTTGATTTGTCCCCTTCTTTAACATTTACACCCATTAATTATTCTGAGTCGAAACCTGTTTCTGCTGAACCCAAGTTAAACACTGAATTTGAGTCTGAACCCATTCCAAATACAGAAGATGTGACAAAGGATAATATTGTTCTTGATTCTATGAAGGAATTACAGGTGCACTCAAGAAGGAAAGTTTCAGATCCTGAACCAGTGCCAGTCCAAGAACCTGATCCTAACTCTAGAAATGAGGTAACTACAATTTTTTACTCTGTTTCTCAAAATGAGCATGAATCTCCTAAAACTATAACTAGTGATTATGATCTGCTTATTGCCATTAGGAAAGGAACCAAAAAATGTACTAAGCATCCACTATACCTAATCTCTAATTTTGTGTCATTTGAAAAATTCTCACCATCCCACAAAAATTTTCTTGTGAACCTAAACACTATTTCTGTTCTAACTACATTATCCGAGGCATTATCCAGTGAGAAATGGAGGCAAGCCATGAAAATAGAAATGAAGGCCTTAGAGAAAAATTAGACATGGGAACTGGTAGAATTGCCTAAAGGAAAAAATCCAGTGGGGTGTAAATGGATTTTCACTGTAAAATACAAGGCAGATGGTACTATTGAAAGGTATAAAGCCAGGTTAGCGGCTAAGGGCGACACTCAAACCTATGGAATGGATTATTAGAAAACCTTTGCTCCAGTTGCCAAGATGAATACAGTTAGGATTTTGTTATCATTGGCTGCAAATTGCAATTGGCAGCTTCAACAATTTGATGTAAAGAATACTATTCTACATGGTGATTTGGAAGAAGAAATATATATGAAGGTTCCACCAGGATTTGGAGGTAATCTAGAAGCAAACAAAGTATGCAGGCCGAAAAAAGCTTTATATGGCCTTAAACAATCTCCTAGGGTTTGGTTCGAAAGATTTACCAAAGTGATGCTAGCAATGAGATATAAACAAAGTCAAAGAGATCACATATTGTTTATCAAGCACTCTGATTCAGGGAGAGTCACAGTTCTATTAGTGTATGTTGATGATATAATTGCAACTGGAGATAATGAAAAAGAGAAAAAATCTCTAAAACAGTGTTTGGCTAGAGAATTTGAGATAAAAGAGCTAGGGAGATTGAAGTACTTCCTAGGAATTGAAATAGCTCACTCACGACATGGTATCTTCATCTCACAACAAAAATATGTGATGGATCTTCTGAAGGAAACTGAAAGCTCACATGTAAACCTGTAAATACCCCTATAGATCCTAATCATAAAATTGGAGAAGCTAATGAAGATGCTGCTGTAAATAGAGAGATGTACCAAAGATTAACGGGAAGACTCATTTATCTCTCACATACTAGACCTGATATAGTATATGCTGTGAGTATGGTAAGTCAATTTATGCACAGTCCTAAAGAAGTGCACCTACAGGCTGTCTACCGTATATTGCATTATTTGAAGGCTAATCTTGGGAGAGGTATCTTATTCAAAAGAAATTCGAGGCTAGTTCTAGAAGCATATATAGATGCTGATTAAGCAAGTTCAGTAACTGATAGAAGATCCACCTCAGGCTATTGCACTTTCTTATGTGGTAATCTAGTGACTTGGAGGAGTAAAAAACATAATGTAGTGGCAAGATCAAGTGCTGAAGCAGAGTTCAGAGCAATGGCTCAAGGAATTTGTGAACTACTATGGTTAAAGATTATCCTAGAAGACTTGAAGATCAAGTGGGATGGACCAATGAGACTCTACTATGATAACAAGTCTGCAATAAGCATTGCACATAATCCTGTGCAACATGACAAAACAAAACACATTGAAGTAGACCGGCATTTCATAAAGGAGAAACTAGACAGTGGGTTGATTTGTACACCTTATGTATCAACCAAGGGTCAACTTGCAGATGTGTTGACTAAAGGTCTCAACAGTGCAACATTTCAAGAAATTATTTTCAAGCTGGGAATGGAAACACCTATTCACCAGCTTGAGGGGGAGTGTGGGAAAACACTTATTTACAGCTGGTTGCAATCTTGTAATCTGTATATTTATATTTGTATCTCTAGAATTAAGTATTTGTATCCCTATAATTAAGGACAAAAAATTATGATAGACAATCTCTCAATTATAGGATTAGTTTTTTAGGAAGATTTAGTTTCCTAGTTTAACCCCTAGTTAGTTGTTTATAAACCTAAGGTTCTTATATAATTCTTAATGAGCAGTTTTTCAATATACATTCAGTTTCCACACTAATTTATTTCTTAGTTTTTCCACATGTTGAATTAATGATTATTAACCAAACAAAATGATTTCAAATCAAGAGTGATAAGATCATCTTGGTAATAAGATCACCTCAGTGTACATTACCATGGTGATCTTAAAAATGATACCAAGCATTACCTAGAAGACTTAAGAATTATAAAAGACAAGCACCCTAAAGCAGTTCAAACTTAGGATTGAAAGCAAGCTCATTATAGGTAATTGCAAAGGAAGAGAACAAGAAAAGGAATGCATTTCACAGTTTACTTATCATACTTTACTGCCTGCTCTGGAAAATGTTTCCCTGGCTGCCTCTGCCTAAGGGTGTGCAAATCTCCTCCAGGGCAGAACTCCATTACCAAACAGGAGAACTTCTCCGTCTCAAAGTGTGTGTAAAGCGTAGGAAGGAATGGATGGTCAAGGGATTGCAGGATCTCTCTTTCTGTTTGAGCTCGAAGCAGCTTTTTACGACTTGCTAAAGACGCTTTGTCCATAACCTTCATTGCAAAATAACACTTAGTTCCACTCAACTCTGACAGATAGACACTCCCAATGTCCCCACAACCCAACCTCTTTAGCAGTCTAAAGTGGCTTAAACCTAGAATCGCATCTCTAGCCCTGACAGCCTGGATAGCTTCCCATCTCAAGTCATTCACTTTGTGAGGCTTACTGATACTGCTATTAAAGCTGCTGCATGTGCTTTCATCACTCACATCACTGCTTGTGCTGCCTCTGCACATGCTGCTCTTGCCACTCTCAACATAATCAAGACGGTCACTAATCTTGGCACTTCCACTAGTCTTTGCAAGACTACTGGTCCCATCACTAACTTTGGCAGATACTGAGCTGTTTTTAACACTTCCATATTCTGATGTTTTCTTTTCTTGATCAACAGAAACTACAGGTGAATCTCTAGTCTCATTAATGGAGGAATCTACTTCAGTTGATGCTTGCTCAACACATGCTGAAAATGAGCTTGATTCAAACTTATTAGTTAAAGATTCAACAGAACCATTTTGATCTAAAATTGGTAACCTTTTACTTTTAGAAACCTCCGCCACAACTTGCTTAGGCACAGTTTCTACCAATTTGAGTAAGCATTCAGGAGTAACCAGCTCAGATTTGTTTGTCTTGGAAACCTTTGAGAGCAAAGGCTTTGGCTCATCAGCTTCTGCTTTTTGGACAATACCTGTCTTCCATTGCTGTTTAGGAGAAATTTTGGCACCAGATTTTGAGGCCATTAGAGTAGAGGAAGAATTTCGAATATGCATTGAATCTCACATATCCATTGTTCAGCAATTACTACAAAAAGCACCATCTCTCCATTTGAAGTTCAACATAGCTTCCCCTCTAACTCCACCAAGCGCAACAGTTAATCTATTAAAGCCAAAAAAAAAAAAAATCATCAAAAGAATACCCATCAACAGTGAAAGTATAACTAGCTGATCTGCAATGGGAGAATAATAGTAGAAGCATTTTTTAAGTATAAATACTAGTCATGAAAGACACAACAGAAATTATCTAAGCCAAGCTGGAGCAATATCACTAGCAGGTATCAATTCACATAAGCCAAACAGTAGGTGTAGTGTCAAATCAAAAGGCAGCAGCGCCCATTACATGCGCAGGATATAAGTAAGCAGCTCAAACAAAGAGAGAAAAATAGGCAGTACAACACTTACATTTTTTGCGTCAAATGGAGAAATCACAATGAGCAAATAGGGGTTAAGCCCTATGCCCAATAAATAAAAAGAATCAATTAGAAAGCAATGCAAAGCTCGATTGGATGATACTTAGTACAAAAGAATGAGCATCAAGTAAAAGATTGAGATGAGATAGTTAATGCCACTCAATATGCAACCTTTATTCATAAAAAATGATAAAAAAAAAAAAGACCATATAAAACCAAAACGATTGGAAAATGAAAAGAAAAAAAAAAACTGACAAAAAAAGTCGGTATAAAGAACTGAATTAAAGGATCTCTAAAAGGTGTTTTTCGGGGGGTTCTCCTTAAAAGAAAGAGTGAGCTGAGTGAGAAATGGGGTGGGACGAAATGATGAAAAGGCGGCGCGTGGAAGATGATGAATAGTGAAAATTTCAAGTTAAACCAGATCTCCATCACAAAAACAAAGTAGAACCAAGACAGATCCAAAGCAAGAAGAGAAACCCAATAGCTAAAATCTGAAAAGCCAGAGAGAGAGAACATAATAGTATTAGGGAAAGAGAAGCAACAAAGCCATCAAAGCTAAAAGAGAGGAGAGAGAGTACCAGAGAAATCGAAGTATGAGAAGATGAAGGAATTGTGAAGGGAAAGGAGGCCGAGGAATTTGCTTAAAGGAGAAAGAAGGGTAGCAGTAGAAAGAGAGCTCAGCCAGCCTCCTACAGCAACTGCCTCACCGACCAGACGACCCAGCTGGCTATAATTTGATCTTCGGCCTCTGAGAGAAGAAAAAAAAAAAAAAAAAAAAGGAGCCTGAGAAATACAGAGAGAAAGAGGAATAAAATATTGAAAACCAAAATCCAAAATCCATTTCTAACTAATAAATTACCAACTATCAAGTCTATTAATTAAAAAAGTGGGGATTTACAAAAAGATATATAACGGGAATATATAAAAGGGTTAAACAAAAATTTATAAGTAAATTTTACATAGGTTTTTAAATTTTAAATATAATTCAACTCAGGTTTATTAGTTTAAAAAATAGATATTTTATTTCAAATTTTATAATTAATAGGATAATGAGATCTTTTTGTCAATTATCTTTTAATTATTTCGTTAAAAAAATTATTAAAACACTATTTTACTCTTTAAAAAATTAGTATCCCAAAATATTCACATAAAATAATAATTTATATAAATAATTTTTTTATTTTTTTATTTTTTCTTAAAAAATATAAAATTTATTTTTAGGTATAATATATAAAAAAATTCATAATTATAAATAAGTTAATATATAAATATTTATAATAAAATGAATATATTGAGCATGTAATAATTTTTCGACATTCAACAAATTTCAATGAAAATAAACTTGTAACATATAATAAGAAAAAAATATTTGGTTGAAAAAAAAAAGATTTGGTTAAAATTTTTATATGCTTAATATATTCATTTTGTTATGCAAATATTTACATATTAACATATTTATAATTGTAAGTTTTTTTTTTATATGTTACATTTAAAAAATCTTTTTATATTTAATATTTTTATTTATCTTGAAACAAAATAAAAATATTTTATTATTATTACTATTATAAAAGATTACATTATATGAATATCTAAGGATATTAATTTTTCAACATAAAATGGTAGTTTAGTAAGACTTTTAACGAAATAATTAATAGATAATTGATAAAAGAATCTCATTGTCCTATTAATTGAAAATTTTGGGGTGAAGTGTCAATTTTTCAAACTAATGGATTTGAATTAAATTATATTTAAAACTTAAAGACCTAAATAGAATTTACCCTGAAAATATCTTTAAATAATATATTTTTTGTCAGTTTAATATTTTACTAAATAAAACTATCAAATTAGTACATGAATTTTTATTTTGTTATCATGCAGGTATATGAGATTAACGTCCTTACTTAAGTTTGCTGACTAATACAAACATCCAATACGATATTGAAACGTGTCAAAATAGTCTAATCAGTGTCATATCATCATTACCATGTTAGCATAAAAAGAAAAACTCAAAAAAATTTTAACACCGATACTTAAGTTTGCTGATGTGATACAAGCATCCAATGTGATGTTGATATGTGTCAAAATAATCTAGTTAGTGTCATATCATCACTACCACGTTAGCATAAAAAAAAAACTTAAAAAAATTTTAAACAATTCCAAAAGATTTAAAAAATTCTTAAAAATTTGTAATAAATTCTAAAAATACTCAAAAACTACTTAAAAATTCTATAAAATTTTTAAAAATTAAAAAAAAAAAAATACTAAAAAAATACTTGTTTTTTTCAAATTCCAAAAATATTTAAATTTTTTTAAAAATTCTAAAAATTTTAAAAAGTTTTTAAATTTTTAAAATTATTATAAAATTTTAAAAATTTTATAGAGTTTATAAAAATTTTAAAATTTCATAAAAAATTCAAAACAATTCTAAAAAATTCTAAAACATTTTTAAATTTTATAAAAAATTTAAAAATATGAACTATGTTTATAAATTAAAAATTATGATATTTTAAAAATTAAAAAAACTATTAAAAATTTAACCCAAAATCTAAAAATAAAAATTTTAACAAAATTAAATTTCCTTAAAGTTTAAAAAATAAAAATAAAAACTTAAAATGAAGAAAATCTAAAATTTTTGGAAAAATTTTGAAAATATAAAAATATGTAAAATTTTTGAAAAAATCTAATCTTTTTTTCAAAATTTTTAAAATTTTTAAAATTTTTTCAAAAATTAAGTAACTTTAAAACCTGAAATATTACAAAAATTTATCAAATTTCTAAAAAATAAAAAAACTTACAATTTTAATAAAAATTAGAAAATTTCAAGAAAATTTAAAAAATTCAAAAAATATATAAAAAATTAAAATTGTAAGATTCAAAAAATATAAAAAAATTTAGAATTTTTAAAAATTTTTTACAAACTTTTGTATTTTTTGAAAAAATTTTATTCATTTTTTTAATTAGCAATTTTTTTAAAAAAAAATTAGGTTTCCTTAATTTTTTTTAGAAAATTTAAAATTTTTTGTAATTTTTTAGATATTTTTTAATTTCAATTTTTTTGAATTTTCTAAAATTTTTATAAATTATTTTAGAGTTTTTAGAATTTTTTAGAATGCTTTTAGTTTTATAATTTTTAAAAAATTTTAAAAAATTTTTAGATTTTTTTTGAAATTTTTTTTTAAGAATGACATAGTACTAATGTTGTAGTGTTGACTAAATTTTTTTTACAAATGTTAACATTTTATAGAAAGTTCATGCCAGATCAATAAAGTTGACTAACGGTGTTAGTAAAAGGTACCAAAGTAATAGCGGCATGAAAGTTCATGTTTCAACATGATAGTTTTATTTTTTTAGATACTAAATTAACAAAAAGTATATAGTTCATAGGCCATTTTTATGTTTAATCCTTTTAAAAAAAAAGTTTAATGAAAAAATGTAATTGCTAAAGGGGAAATAATAACACTTGAAATTAATATTAAAAAAATTAAAATTATACTTATAACTCTTACTAAACCTATAAGAAAGAGTAAAGCTCAATTTTCTTCCTTTTCTGTTGAGCTTCATTCTTTTGTTTCTTCCTTTTTTGTTGAAGATATTTACCTTACATTATCTTTCTTTCTTTTCTTCTCCCTTACTTCTTGTTCCTTGAAATCCTATTGTGAAAAAAATTTCTCCATTTTCTCTCTATTATATATAAAAACCTCACTCCTATGTTATTGAGATAAAATTCTTTTTCTCTTCACTTGGAGTGTCGTCTCTTTTCTATCGAATTGATTAAGTTTTTTAAAGTAAGTATATATTTTTTGACTTTTTTATCACTCCAATTTAAGTTTCATATTGTTTAGGTTTTTATTTAAATTTGTTGTTATTTAGGATTTTTTAAATTTGTTACAATTTAAGGTTTATTGGGTTTAATTTGTTGTTATTATTCTTGTTTTTGTTTTTAATTTTAAGGTTGTTGTTAGAATAAAATTTTATGTAGGATTTAGTTGATATTTTATAGGGTGTAGAAACTAATTTGGGATATGTATTATAGTACTTATAAGATATGTATATAGTACTTTTAGGATATGTACATTGTACTTATAGAATATGTACATATATATCTCATTATAAAGTCAAAATCTTAATTGATCTAGTTTTATATTTATGATTATATAAATGTTTAATTAAGAGTTTTGTAGATAAAATTTTATTTAGGATAAAAAATTTAAATGTAAATTGAAACTTTTTAAGTTTGTAATTGATAAATAAAAACTTATGTAATATAAAGTAGGTAAGTATTGATACTTTATAAGGTTATATGAACTTATATTGGATGTGTAAATAAAGCTTATGTTATTTGTACATAATACTCATTTGATATGTACATCTTGCTTTTGAAATATATACATAGTAGTTATAGTATATGTACATCTAGATATATAGTGCTCTTTGATATGTACAAAGTGCTTTTGGGATATTTATATATTAGTTATAATATATGTATATCTAGATATATCTATATCTTATTATAATGTAAATATCATAATTGATCAAGTGCTGTGCATATATTAGTTGAAACATTTTCATTAACTTAGGTTATCAACAAGGGTTTAGGGTTTAGTAAATTCTTTAATATCAAACTTATCATATAGTGCTTATATGATATATACATAGTGCTCAATTTATATGTATATAATACTTTTTATATATGTACACAGTAGTTATAAGATATGTATATTTAGATATAAGTACATATACATTTCTTCATAATGTTTATACCATAATTGATCAAGGGTTTTGTTTTTATTAGTTGAAACTTGTCATTGATTTAGGTTATCATATAAGGGTTTAAGGTTTGATTTTTTCATATCAAACTTGTTCTTAACTAAATTGATGAGTAATATTTGTTGTGACTTTGACATCAACCTTATTTTTTGTTTATGATAATGCTTATCAAACAATAATATAAATAATAAAGCTTAGCTTATATTGTTTTGTGACATATACACACTTGTATGTTGGCATAGAAATGATGTGAGGAAGTCATTCAAGTAGGTGTTTTGGAAGCAAAAAGAAAAGCTTTTAGGTAAAATTTGTTAGTGTTAAGTAAATTTGTTATCATGTGGATTATTTATGTTTATCTTTTCTTAGCATTTTGTATATGTACGTAATAAAATTACAGTGCAGGGTAGAATTAAGAAAAAAGTATAGCCCTGGCATATTTGTAAAATTTATAAATTACATTGTTATTAAAAACTTGACAAAAAAAAATGTTGTGACAGAAATAAGTTTTAGTGGTTTGACAAACTTAAGATGCATAACTTTTCTCCATTATTTATATTCATGGCATATTAATAAATTTGATGCGATGAAGTTTATTTTAAAGTAGTAGGAAAAAATATTGTCAATAAAAAATTTAGATGTTGGTTTAAATATTAGATGTAACATATATTATTTTAGAGGTGAAGTTAAATAATGGTAATGATTGTGAGAAAGTTAATAGTTGAAATGAAATTTTTTGAATGTCACATCATTTAAGGATATTGAGAGTATGTCTAATAATATTGAAGACTTGATGATTGAAAAAAACTTTGTCATATTTGTAGTGGGAACTATTCTTGCTCGCGCAAGTAGACCAAAAGTGAATATTAAGCTTATGTCATCAGTTTACGATACAAAACATATTGCTTCATACAATTGAGATCTTTTTGCACTTAAACAATTAACAAAAGGAATAAAAAATTATAATGGGTGACAAGATTCAACATATATTATCAATTCATTGCTCTTCTTTCAAGTATATAGAATATAACTTTTTACCTATTATAATTAAACATATTTTGACTTATGTATGGGTTAATCTTTGCTTAACATTATTAATTTTATGCGACGATTCTTTCTATGTTAGATGTTTTATTTTGATTAAGTAATGCCTAATGAATGTAG